CCTCTGCCCCCCATCCCAGCCCTCACCCCTCTACCTCTGCCCCCACATCCCAGCCCTAACACCTGTCCGTGCCTCCCCCATCCCAGCCCTGACCCCTCTGCCTCTCTCCCCCATCCCAGCCCTGGGCCCTCTGCCTGGACCTCTTCATTTCTACCCTCATCCCTGGGAAAGCTCTTCTGATGTGGGGTCACACACAGACTCCAGCAAGATCTCGTGGCTTCTCCTGAGGCTGTGGTTCAGCCGAGGTGCCTGACGCCCTCCCGTGACCTCCTCCCACTATCCAGGTACCCCTGGTGATCTTTAAGCGGGAGAAGGAGCTGGCCCGAAAGCTTGAGTTTGATGGCCTCTACATCACAGAGCAGCCGGAGGACGACGATGTGAAGGGGCAGTGGGACCGCCTGGTGCTCAACACACCGTAAGGACCCAGCCCCGACCTCAGGGTGGCAGCAGGGGGGGACCTGGGTTTCCACCCAGTCCAAGCCAGGACCTCAAAAAACTGGAGTTTCAGGCTGAGTGCAGTGGCTCACGCTTGTAACCCCAACACTTTGGGAGGCTGAGGGGGGCAGATCACAAGGTCAAGAGTTAGAGACCAGCCTGGCCACCATGGTGAAACCCCATCTCTACTAAAATACAAAAAATTAGCCGGGCGCAGTGGCACACATCTGTAGAGCCATCTACTCGGGAGGGTGAGGCAGGGTAATCTCTTGGACCAGGGAGGTGGAGCTTGCAGTGAGCTGAGATCCTGCCACTGCACTCCAGCCTGGCAACAGAGTGAGACTCCCTCTCAAAAAAACAAACAAACAAACAAAAAAAAAAACACTAGAGTTACAGGGCCCTGCAGGCCCTGCCTTATTCCCCCCCATGCCTTAGTCTTCCTCTCCATAAAAGGGGCACATTTCCCATGGATTACAGCATCTGTGTGGGTGCGGGTGGCACGCAGAGATTCCTAGGCCTGGGCCCTGGAGGTTCCCGTTCAGTGACTCCGGGGTGTGAGCCCAGGAACCTATGTTTTAAACCCTGTCCCTAGGTATGATTCTTACTCGGGTGCAATGAGTGCAAAATAAAAAAACATGGCTGGGGGCAGCGGCTCACGCCTGTAATCCCAGCACTTGGGACACCAAGGTGGGCGGATCACTTGAGGTCCGGAGATCGAGAGCAGCCTGGCCAATGTGGTTGAAACCCCATCTTTACTAAAAATACAAAAATTGGTCTCTGCTAAAAATACAAAAATTAGCCAGGCATGGTGGCAGGCGCCTGTAGTGCCAGCTACTCAGGAGGCTGAGGCAGGAGAATCACTTGAACCTGGGAGGTGGAGGTTGCAGTGAGCCCAGATTGCACCACTGCACTCCGGCCTGGGTGACAGTGAGACTCCATCTGAAAAAACAACCAACCAAATGAAAAGAAAAGAAATCAGTAGAAGCTTTAGGAGCCGTGCTCAGTGGCTCATGCCTGTAATCTCAGAACTCTGGGACGCTGAGGCGGGAGGATCCCCTGTGCCCGGGAGTTCAAGACCAGCACGGGCAACATGGGGAAACCTCTATCTTTAAAAAAAAAAAAAAAAAAAACAACTAAAAGGTTAGCCAGGCATGCCAGCCTGGATAGCACATACAGGTAGTCCTAGCTATTTGGGAGGCTGAGGCAGGAGGATCACGTGAGCCCAGGAGCTCCAGGCTGCAGTAAGCTATAATTACACCACTGTCCTCCAGCCTGAGTGACAGAGCAAGACCTTATGTCTTGGGTGGGGTAACAAAAAACAAAACACAACAAAAAGTGAATAGGAATTAGAAGTGCAGTGCATTGAAGCACTTCAAAGAATTGCAAATCTCTGAATTCATAATCATCACTCCACTTTCTCAAAAAACAAAACTCACTGGCCATATTCGAGGATGTTAGGGCATAAATTAGCCACTTGGAAAACTGGTGAATAAAGGACCAGAATCATGAATTAAATGAAATCAATCAGTATGAAAATACAGGCATTTCCACTGGAGTTGGTGCCAGGTCAGGCTGCTGGTTTGGACTCCCCCCGACCCCGACACTGTGCCAAAGCCTCTTTACCGGAGTGCACATCTGGCTCTGAATGCAAATTCTCTGCCTCATCGGGGGTCCAGCAAAGATGGCAGTGGGATCCCCACTGTTCAAGGTTCCTATAAGAAAAGCAGTGGAGCCAGGCACAGTGGTTCACACCTGTAATCCCAGCACTTTGGGAGGCTGAGGCGGGTGGATCACTTGAGGTCAGGAGTGTGAGACCAGCCTGCCCAACGTGGTGAAACCCCCTCTCTACTAAAATATAAAAGTTAGCCGGGTGTGGTGGCATGTGCCTGTAGTCCCAGCTACTCGAGAGGCTGAGGCAGGAGAATCACTTGAACCAGGAGGCAGAGGTTGCAGTGGGCCGAGATCGCGACAGAGTGAGACTCCCTCTCAAAACAAAAGCAGTGGAGTTTCAACCCACCCCAGTTCCTCTGGCCCTAACCTCTCCACCCCGTCTCTGTCTCTGTCTCTGGCTCTGTCTCTGTCTCTGTCTCTCTCTCTCTCTCTCGGCAGGTCTTTCCCCAGCAACTACTGGGACAAGTTTGTCAAGCGCAAGGTGAGAGGACATGGATGCACTGGGTCCCTGCCTGCCACCAGGCCATCACAGGCCCACCAAGCACTTGCTTGGTGTGTGACCTTGGGCAAGAGGTTTTGCCTCTCTGAGTAGCACCTCAGTTTCCCCATGGGCATAGTAAGCACGCATCCCTCTCTTGAATGGACACATGGAAAGGGCGGAGCATCCAGGCCAGGTATGGTGGCTCATGCCTATAATCCCAGCACTTTGGGAGGCCTAGGTGGGCAGAACACTTGAGCTCAGGAGTTTGAGACCCACCTGGGCAACATGGCAAAATCCCATGTCTAACAAAAATACAAAAAATTAGCGGGGCTTTGTGGCACATGCAGTCCCAGCTACTCGGGAGGCTGAGGTGGGAGGATCGGTTAACCTAGGAGGCGGAGGTTGCACTGAGCTGAGACTGCACCATTGCACTCCAGCCTGGGTGACAGAGTGAGACCTCATCTCAAAAAAAAAAAAAACAATAATAATAACAAAAAATAAAAATGTATGGCATAGCGCCTGACACAGAGTGAATACTCAAGAAATACTGGTTTAGGCTGGGTGTGGTGGCTCACTCCTGTAATCCCAGCATGCTGGGAGGCTGAGGTGGGCAGATCACTTGAGGTCAGGAGTTTGAGACCAGCCTGGACAACATGGCAAAACCCCATCTCTACTAAAAACACAGAAATTAGCTGGGTGCCTGTAGTCCCAGCTACTTGAGAGGCTGAGGCAGGAGAATCGATTGAACCCAGAAGGCGGAGGCTGCAGTGAGCCAAGATCACACCATTGCACTCCAGCCTCAGTGACGGAGTGAGATTCTGTCTCAAAAAAAAAGAAATACTAGCTGAGAGAGAGGAAGTTAGCAATACTGCCTTAAGCACACACACTCTGGAACGGATTGCCTGCTTTTCTTTTTTTTTTTTTTTCTTTGAGATGGAGTCTTGCTCTGTCACCCAGGCTGGAGTGCAGTGGCGCGATCTCAGCGCACTGCAACCTCCACCTCCCTGCCTCAGCCTCCCAAGTATCTGGGATTACAGGCGCCCACCACCATGCCTGGCTAATTTTTGTATTTTTGGTAGAGATGAGGTTTGTTTCACCATGTGGGCAGGGCTGGTCTTGAACTCCTGACCTCAGGTGATCCACCTGCCTGGGCCTCCCAAAGTGCCGGGATTACAGATTGTGAGCCACCTCGCCCGGTCAGTTACCTGCTTTTCTACTTCTGGTTTATTGACCTTTCTGTATAATAATAATCCGGCCATACAGGGTTGTTGTATTATACTACATGAGCAGTTTCTGGCATATAGGAAAACACTAGGTATGTTGGCTGTTACCATAATTCATTCACTCATGTTTATGGAGCACCTATTGTGTGTGTCAGGAACAGTTTCAGAACCCTGGGGTGGCTCACGCCTGTAATCCCAGCTTTGGAAGACCAAGGCGGGCCGATCGGAAGGTCAGGTGTTTGAAACCAGCCTGGCCAACAGAGTGAAATCCCGTCTCTACTAAAAGTACAAAAATTAGCCGGGTGTGGTGGTGGGCACCTGTAATTCCAGCTACTTGGGAGGCTGAGGCAGGAGAATCACTTGAACCCGGTGGAGGTGGAGGTTGCAATGAGCCAACATGGTGACAGTGTACTCCAACCTGGGCAACAGAGGGAGACTCCATTTCAAAAAAAAATGCACCCCCATTTCTCAGAGTGTCCCCAGAACCCCCTTGCAGGCCGTGACACACACCCGCACTCCAGCCCTGTCTACACAGCCTGACGCTCTCTTGTGCAGGTCCTGGACAAACATGGGGACATCTACGGGAGGGAGCGGATTGCCGAGCTACTGGGCATGGACCTGGCCACACTGGAGATCACGGCCCACAATGAGCGCAAGCCGAACCCCCCACCGGGGCTGCTGACCTGGTGAGCCCAGGATGCCCCTGCACAGGCCTGGGGCATGCAGGGGAGGTGACGGGGGTCTGACGCTCAGGCATCTCCTCCCACAGGATCATGTCCATCGATGTCAAGTACCAGATCTGGAAGTTCGGGGTCATCTTCACAGACAAAGTGAGCAGCGGCCCGCAGGTTGGGGAGGGGGTCTGCAGGGGAGGGCGTTAGGAGGGTTCCCAACTCCGGGTGTTCCTGACCACAGAATAACTCCTGGGACTCCTGGGACTCTAAGGTACCTTCTTTTTTTTTTTTTTTACAGAGTTTCGATCTTGTTACCCAGGCTGGAGTGCAATGGCGCGATCTCGGCTCACCGCAACCTCCGCCTCCTGGGTTCAGGCAATTCTCCTGCCTCAGCCTCCTGAGTAGCTGGGATTACAGGCACGCGCCACCATGCCCAGCTAATTTTTTGTAGTTTTAGTAGAGACGGGGTTTCACCACGTTGACCAGTATGGTCTCGATCTCTTGACCTCGTGATCCACCCGCCTCGGCCCATGCCTGTAATCCCAGCACTTTCGGAGGCCAACGAAGATAGATTGCTTGAGCTCAAATGTTTGAGACCAGCCTGGGCAACACAGTGAAACCCTATCAATACAAAAATTAGCCAGGTGTGGTGGTGCACACCTGTGGTTCCAGCTACCTACTGGGCTGCAGTGGGGAGATGGCTTGAACCCAGGAGGCAGAGGTTTCAGTGAGCTGAGTGTGCACTACTGCACTTCAGCCCAGACAACAGAGTGAGACCCTGTCTCTAAAAAAAAAAGAAAGAGTGACCAGGCATGGTGGCTCAGGCCTGTAACCCTAGCACTTTGGGCCAGGAGACCTGGGTGGGCAGATTACTTAAGGCCAGCAGTTAGAGGCCAACCTGGCCATCATGGTGAAACCCCGTCTGTACCAAAAATACAAACATTAGCTGGGTGTGGTGACGCACACCTGTGGTCCCAGCTACTCGGGAGGCTACGGCAGGCTTAGCCTCCTTCGCTTGAACCCAGGAGGCGGAGGTTGCGGTGGGCTGAGATTGCGCCATTGCACTCCAGCCTGGGTGACAGGGAGAGACTCCATGTCAAAAAAAAAAAAAAAGAGAAAGAGATGAGAAGTCTTTCTATGTCGCCCAGACTGGTCTTGAACTCCTGACCTCAAGTGATTCTCCTACCTCAGCCTCCCAAAGCACTGGGATTAACAGGCAGGAGCCACCATACCCAGCCCAAAACATCCTTTGACTCCCTCAGAGTGCCCTTGGATTCCCAGATTTTCTCCTCTGCAGGGGGCTCCCATCTCCCCCAGGATGCCTTCTCACCCAGAATGCCCGGATCCTCCATGTACTCCCCAACCAGAGCTGACACCCGACCCCCAGGGCACAGCTGACTCTCCCAAGTGACCTGTACCCTCCAGAGTGCTCCTCGTGTGTCCCTGCCTGCCCTCTGACCCCTGGCCCTGTGTGCCCACAGTCCTTCCTGTACCTGGGCTGGTATATGGTGATGTCCCTCTTGGGACACTACAACAACTTCTTCTTTGCTGCTCATCTCCTGGACATCGCCATGGGGGTCAAGACCCTACGCACCATCCTCTCCTCTGTCACCCACAATGGGAAACAGGTGTGGGGAGGACCTGGCTTCGGGCTGTGGGCCAGCAGGGACCGGCATGTCACCGGGTGGTGGAGGGGTGAGGGCCGGGCAGCTGGGCTGAGCAGGGGCAAGGCCGGGTGGGCTGAGCTGGGGGAGTGTGGGGCAGAGGGGTAGAGCCACAGGGGCCGAACTGGGGCCAGGACCCAGAATCGGTGGGACAGGGAGAGGGCAGGCCCAGGGCAGAGCTGACCCGTCCCCTGCCCGCAGCTGGTGATGACGGTGGGCCTCCTGGCGGTGGTCGTCTACCTGTACACCGTGGTGGCCTTCAACTTCTTCCGCAAGTTCTACAACAAGAGCGAGGATGAGGATGAGCCGGACATGAAGTGTGATGACATGATGACAGTGAGCCCTCCCCCAGTGCTCTGGGACCCTTCCTCCTCGCATGTTTTTTTTTTTTTTTTTTTAGACAGAGTCTAGCTCTGTTGTCCGGGCTGGAGTGCAGTGGTGGGATCTCGTCTTACTGCAACCTCCGCCTCCCGGGTTCAAGCAGTTCTCCTGCCCCATCCTCCCAAGTAGCTACAGGCACCTGCCACCACACCCAGCTAATTTTTGTATTTTTAGTAGAGATGGGGTTTCACCATATCGGCCGGGCTGGTCTCAAACTCCTGACCTTATGATCCTCCTGCCTCGGCCTCCCAAAGTGTTGGGATTACAGGTGTGAGCCACTGCGCCCAGCCCCCTTCTCGCATTTGATGAAGGAGTTAATAATGGTACCTCCGGGCTGGGTGTGGTGCCTCCAGCCTCCAATCCCAGCACCTTGGGAGGCTGAGGCGGGAGGATCAGCTGAGTCCAGGAGTTGGAGACCAGCCTGGGCAACAAGGCAAAAACCCCTGTCTCTACAAAAAAAAATTTAAACATGAGGTGGGTGATGTGTTGTGCACCTGGAGGCTAAGGCAGGAAGATCTCTTGGGCCCAACTGTTTGAGGCTGCATTGAGCTATGAATGGGCCACTACACTCCAGCCTGGTAGACAGAGGGACCCAGTCTCTAAAAAATGAAAATTGTGGCCAGGCGTGGTGGCTCACGCCTGTAATCCAAGCACTTTGGAGGCGAAGGCGGGCGGATCACCTGAGGTCGGGAGTTCAAGACCAGGCTGATCAACATGGTGAAACCCC